ATTCAACATTGAAACTATTATGTGAATTTTCAAAATTATCAAAATTAAATGCTTTTTTATTACTCGGATGCTAGACAAACACTGATGCCTCTATTCTTGTTTACAAATTCCGCCCAGAGAGAATTGGTTTCAATATGTACACAGAGAATACGCGACCACAATTAACTTTCCTTGCATTAGTACCTTGTATAGAGCTATACTCAATACTCATACAGCGCATACGCAGCGCTTGTTATTTAATGAATTTTTCCAGCATCATATTTTCCTATATTTAATGTATCGGAAATTACTATTGAAATATATAGAAAATAATGAGAATAATATTTTGTAGGGAAATTATTCCGAATTATGTAAATACAGACATGTACTCCTGGAAGAATTCCATGATTTTGGCCCATTATGCTATATTTGATTTGGGATGGGACCTTTTTTTTCTTTTGTTAAAAAATAGATAAAAAGATTTTTTTAAAAGTTTTTATTGTTTGAAGTTGAATAGTGAACGTAATCATAAAGTGACCCTTCATTAAAGGCACTTCAGATTCACATGGCACCCTTAAACGCTTTAAGTATGAAATAAGCAAAAATGATTAAGTTATTCTTAATAGAAGTGACTTGCGGATTAATGCCTCAAAAACATTTGAGGATATCGTTAGAATTAAACACTTTTAAGTTGAAGAAAACTTCGATATCTTAAACATGATTAATCAGATAAGGGTATAAATTGTACTGTTGTGAATAAAGAATACCCCTCTTTAAATTGCAACGACCCTTAGAAAGATTACATGTTTATTCACTAAAGGATAGGACCAAAAAGTCCTAATATACTACTTACTGGATAAGAAAAATCTTTGGTTTTCAGGCGGGTTTGACCCAAACGGATGCTGAGCCCTCCCCCGGTAAAAAAAAAATCAGCCCCCCCCCCTTGGTCCTTTGGACAAACTACTGAATACGCCCTTGCTTACATGTTACTCATGTTTCCCTAATAGATTTAAAAGTAAATGAAGACATCTTTTTTAGAACAATAAAAAGATTTTTTGCTTTTACTCGAACTGTTTTTCATGTATTTAATTGATATTCTCTGCTCACCCTGTGATTTAGAAAGATGTATTTTTGATAGTTTTGCAGAGCTGTTTTAGTGGATACGTTTCCAATCTTCTCCCCTTTTCTGTGACATGCAATTTACTAACTAAAATCAACAGTACGCCATTTTTTTTCCTTTGTCCCTCTCCTCCTCTCCTCATTTACTTTGCTTTAAGTTTTTTGTAATTATTTTGTGTAGGGCCTATCATTTAAAACAGCCATTATCGGCTAGTTCAGTCCTGACTAATGTTTCTTGTTTCCGAAGTTCACATGAATTGGACTTTATGCTTTAGGAATAATAAATAGATTAATCTCATTCGGCCAGAAGAAAACCAATCGTCTGTCCCATAATGTTTTGTTCAATCAGCGTAAATAACTTTTCATTTTGGGACGTCGCCAGGAATCTTTATGTAATGTAGTATAAATACAGGGGATTTTTCTCAATTTTCCCGGTTACTAAAGTTTTTTTTGTCGCACACCCAAATTTTCTCATCCCTATATCTTTTCAGCCTGATGGTTTAAACCTTTGATATTTCAAACTTTAAATATTTTACCTGACAGAATTTAGAGTTTATTTAAGTAGAGGCACAACAAATTAGCGCACTTTTATTGGTCAAACAAAAAACGGATTAAGGAGAAAATTGTGTTCTTTCCTGGTTCACTCTTTGTTATTTATCAATTATTGGAAATCAAAGACGATATTCAAGCAGATTCTTAATTGCTATGTTAATTGGGACACCCTGTATGATGAAATTGAACCGATATATTGTAATGAAATATTTTCTGTACTTGTTCTGAATATATATATATTAGAAACAGATAAATAATATATGTTTATATTGTACAGAAAATATGTATTTATGTATATATTGTATTGTATATACAGATAATATATAAATGAATATGTAATAGGACAGGTGGAGTAAGGAAGATTAAGTGTTTTTTACCCTCGTAGACACATAAATATTCTAGACAGATCACTCATTAGTTTAACAATAAACCTTTCATAAACCCTTTATCTAACAGGTTTTCATCAAAACAATATCATTCAAGGGTTAGTAAACAAAATTTCAAGTTACAATCCATTTTTAATAGACTTTTTCATTTAAGTTTTGATTTTTAAAAAGCTTTTTTCTAATGAGAAGTAACAAGTAATCAACAAGAAGCTTTTTATTGATAATTCTATTGACTTCTATGTTTAAGTGTAGCCATGCTGTTTAACAGCTTAATTATCAATATTTAAACCGAAAGTCGTCTTTATTGTATTAAAATAATCGTCTACCACCGTATCTAAAAAGTGTGGATTTAATATTCTGAATTTTAAGAAATCACAATTAAGAATAATCAGTTTTTATCCAGACAAATTATAATTTCTAATTCATTCATATTCACTGTTCAGTCAATTGAGGAAATAATTGTGAACAGGACATGCCACTCGATACTGGACTAACCAATAATGTTGATCCGCTCTACTGCACATCCGACCTACTGCAACATCCGACCTACGACATC